TTTTTTTTTTTGGTTTAGCTTCTTTTACTTAGTATAATTATTTTGAGATTCATTCATGTTTTTGTGTGTATCACTTGTTGGTTTCTTTTTATTCCACATTTTGTTTATCCATTCACATGTTGATAGACATTTGGAACTAATGCAGATAAAGTTGCTAGGAACATTCACATGTAAGTCTTTGCATACACGTATGCTTTAATTTGTCTTGGGAAAATACCTAGGAGTGGAATGACCGGGTTTAACAGTAGGAATATGTTTAACTTTTTGAGAAATTGGAAAACTGTTTTTCCAAAGTGGTCATACTGTTTTTTATTCCCACCAGCAGTGTATAAGAGTTCTGTTTGCTCCACGTCTTTGCTAACACTTGGGATTGTCAGTCTTTAATTTTAGCCATCTTAATAGGTGTGTTTGGTAGCTCACTGTTGTTTTAATGTGCATTTCCCTAATAATTGATGATGAGCACATTTCATGTACTTATTGGCCATGTGTATATTATCTTTGATAAAGTACCTTTTCAAATGTTTTGTCCATTTTTTTATTGGTTGGTTTTTCTGTTACTGTGTTTTGAGAATTTATATATTCTGGATACAAGTTCTGTATCAGATATGAGATTTGCATATATTTTCTCCCAGTTTCTGGCTTGTTTTTTCATTCGCTTAACATTGTCTTTCAAAGAGCAGAAGTTTTTTAATTTTGATGAAGTTCGATTTATCAATTTTTTTAATGGATCAAGTTTTTGATGTTGTATCTAAGAACTCTTTACATAACCCAAGGACACAAACATATTTTGTTTTCTTCCAGAAATTTTATAATTTTATGTTTCACATTTAGGTTTGTATCTATTTTGAGATAATATTTTGTATATGGAGTAAGGTATGGATTGAGGTTCATTATTTTTGCACATGGATATCCCATTGTTCTAGCACTGTTTGTTGAAAAGAATATTCTTCCTCCATTGATTTGTCTTTCCACCTTTGTCAAAAATTAGTTGACCATGTATGTGTGGGTCTATTTCTTATCCCACTCTCTATTCTGTTTTGTTGATCTGTTTGTCTGTCTTTATACCAATATCACATACTGTCTTGATTATGGTAGCTGTATAATAAGACTTGAAATCAGGTGGTGTTAAGTTCTCCACCTTAGTTCTTTTTCAAAGTTGTTTTCCTATTCTAAGTTCTCTGAATTTTTATTTCAATTTTAGAATATGTGTAATGAGCTATGGACAGTTTTATTGCAGAATGGAAATTGAGTCATTCTCAATAAATCATGAAGATATTCTTTAGTTTCATAATTAAACAAAACATTAATATAAAACAAAAACTTCAAGTATCACACAATATTGATAACTTTAACTGGATAAATAATTTCAATATTCTGTGTCAGGTAAGAATTTAGCACAGAATTATGATTGCCTTTGAATATCAGTTAAGGTTCTCTGGTTAGAGGCAACAGAAATAAAAAGGGGATTTATTAGGAAATGCTGGGGTAGTTACAGAAGTGAAGGGTGAGCTTCGAGGTCTAAGGCAGCTCTGAGAACCTCAGAGACTGGACCTAAGCACTCATTGAGGAGCTTTCTCCACCAGCTGCACTAAGGAAAGTTTTGGAAAGATGTTGGATTGGTCCGGCCTGGGTAACCCTCACACTAGATTAATCAGTGTTACTAGGGAAACAGGAAACTAACTAGTCAGCTCTGGAGTTTAGATATTGTGATAAGTAGGCTGGGCGCGGTGGCTCACGCCTGTAATCCTAGCACTCTGGGAGGCCGAGGCGGTGGATTGAGCTCAGGAGTTCGAGACCAGCCTGAGCAAGAGCGAGACCCCATCTCTACTAAAAATAGAAAGAAATTAATCAGACAACTAAAAATAT